GACACAGAGAGAGAGAGAGAGAGAGAGAGAGAGAGAGAGAGAGAGAGGCAGTATTCTACAGAAACCTGAAGATGCTGCTCAGATTCATTATCAATTGCTTAAGAAGCATCTTAAATAACTAATGCAAATAACTAATGCTTTTAATGTTATTTTATTACATTTCTTAAAAAGATTCTGAAGAGAAATTCCCCTGTAGTCAGGAGACTTGTTTAGACTGAAAATACTCCTTTCAATTGAGAAAATTCTACTTAAGTAGGGCCACAGGCTAATTGAAAATAAGCTTTTTAGAATTCATACTAATCTTACTGCATTCCTTAGGAAAACTGCTTGAAAGTCAAATCCAAGTTGGCGTTTTGTCAAACAGGTTCACATTCTAAGAGGAAAGCTGCCACAAAGGCTGGCCTCTCCCTCAGAAATATTTCTTTGAAAATTACCTATTGGGTATTCATCAAAGCCATTTCTGTCTGGTAGTTGTCAGATTCTGTCAATGCAGTTATGGTGCCCTACAAGTTGGTGCATAGTGACTAGTGTGTGTGGTCTGCAGGACTGGACCCTAACTGCTAACTGTCTTTCAGCTTTCATGACACTGGTTATCATAATGCTGCATGTGTTCTGGGGCATCGTGTTTTTTGATGGCTGTGAGAAGAAAAAGTGGTACATCCTTCTTATAGTTCTCCTGACCCATCTGTTGGTGTCCACCCAGGTGAGTGTCCTCACCGTGCTCACACTGTTTTCAGAGCTCAAGTCTGGGTGTCTGAGATAGTAGATTCCACTCCAAATGCAGTGCATGTGCAAGGGTAACAAGGAAAATGAGAAAATACCTGTATTTTTGTATCATGCTTGTGTTTTGAAACATCTGGAGCTATTTCCCTCTTCTTAAAAATTCTTTAAGATACAAATTTTAGTAATTTTATATCATTACATGAAAGTAATTTTAATTTGACTGGTTAATCATGTTTTGTTATTGTGAAGCTGACCAAACCATCAATGTTCATCTATGAAACTTTATCCATATGTTTACATTTCAAGGTATGGAATTATGAAGTCAAATGGTGTGAATATTTTTTGAGTACTTGATACAAATTGCTAAAGTGTACTCATTAAGAATTATAACAGTTCTACCCATTCTGATTAGTAACAGAAGTACCAGTTTCACTACCTTATTAATGTTATAATACTACCAGTTTTCAAAATGAAGTTTTAAATTTTCTTTCTATATTTATTTTTAAAGTACTATGTAATATTTTGGGTCTGACTTGTCATTTTTTCATTTAAATACATGATAATTATCAAAATGGCCCCTGCCATGGCCCTGTCTAGACCCTTTGCACCTTTGACCCGAAGTGTTAAAAAAGGCTTCACCTGGACTGGTGAGATGGCTCAGCTGGTAAAAGTGCTTGCTGCACAAGACTGTGGTGGAAGGAAAAGAACCAGCTTCTAAAAGTTTTCCTCTAACCTACACAGGTGTGCCAAGGCATGTGTGTGCTCACACTCATGGAGAGCTCACTCTCTTTCTCTCTGTCTCTGTCTCTCTCTCTCTGTCTCTCTCTCTCAAACAAACAAACTAATAATAATAATTAGATAATTTTTTAAAGGTTTTTACTGGGCTGCAGAGTGGCTCGGTGGTTAAGATCACTGGCTGCTCTTTTAGAGAATCTTGGTTCAGTTCTCAGCACCCACATGGCAGCTAACAACCATCTGTAACTCCATGAGATCCTACATCATGCTCTGGCCTCCACAGGTATTGCACACACTTATATATGTGCAGGCAAAACACTCATAAAATAATTTTTTGGAAAAGTTTCACCTGATGACCACCAGCCTCATGCTTCTATCCTCTCCATCTATTTAGTTTCTATCGGGTTTTTCTACTCGTGTCCTCTAATCCGTCTAAAATGCAATCTCTTTGCCCCCTACATACCTAAAACCTTGTACTGCTTCAGGATGCTAAAACTACCCTTAGCCTGATGGTCTCTGTATAAGACTAAAGTATTTATGGGGGAAAGAGGAAAGAGAACATATTAAAATATTAACACCATTTCTCTTGGTGTTGAAATTGTTATTCTTTTATTCTTTTTTCCTGTTAAGACAAGTTCTCAGTAGCTCAGGCCGGCTTTGAACTCATGATCCTTCTGCCTCTACCTCACAAGTGTTGAGATTAAAGATAACCAATTTACTTGACTTTTTATTCTCTATAGTTTTTGTATTGTTCCAATTTTCTTGTTATAGTACTTTGTGTGTGGCTTTCTCTCTCTCTCTCTCTCTCTCTCTCTCTCTCTCTCTCTCTCTCTCTCTTTGTGTGTGTGTGTGTGTGTGTGTGTGTGTGTGTGTGTGTGGTACATGTGCATCTGTGAATACATGGAAGCCAGAGGTGTCATTCCTCAAGAGCTGTCCAACTAAAACAAAACAAAAAAAAACCAAAGTCTCTTGCTGGCCTGTGGCTCGCCAGTTAAGCAAGGCTGACTGGCCAGTGATCACCAAAGATCCACTTGTTTCTACCTCCCCAGCACTGGGATTACAAGTGAGTACCACCATGTCTGGCTGTTTTACATGGATTCTGGGGGATTGAACTACAAACCTCAAGCTTATATGGCAAGCACTTTGCCAATTGAGCTATCAGCCCATTCCTGTAATATAATCAGAAAGGAAATTACATGACAAACTGAATGGTAATACTGAGTGTCTCCTACATTGCAGGCACAATTTGAAGAAGACAAAATAGTGAGATCAAAGCTATAGACAGTAGACATAATAAGTAAGAAATCATATAGTGTGATAGTAGCTGGTTGGTGCTATGGAAAAAAGGAAAAGTGGAACACAGTAAAGAGATCCAGAGTGTGTATGGAGAGGAAAGGGTAGCACATTTCTTAATTAGGCGGTCAGAATAGGCTTTATTATAAAAATGACATTTGTATACAAAAAGAATGAAGTAGAGGCGAAGAAGTTGATCATGTGATTGTCTGAAGAGAGAGCATACTAGACTGGGCAGCTGAGGTCCTAAGCCTACGGGGCATGCTTGGCATGTTTTTGGAAGCCAGGGTGGCCAAAGAAGATGAGCAAGAAGATTAGCGGGAGGTGCTGTGGAGAATTGGTGGTAAGAGCCACATCTAGATAACAGCACTTTGGCCTTTTAGTGAACTGAAGAGTGATTATGAGAGTGTTGAAGAGAGGAATGTAGGCACTGGGGAGACTGAGGTAGGAGTAGCATCATGAGATTGAGGTTAGCCTGACCTACCTAGTGAGCTCCAGGTTAACTTGGGCTACAGAGTAAGACCCTGTCTCAAAATAGTAAAAGGAAAAAAAGGGAGGGGTGATTTGACACATTACAAAAGGATTGCTTTGACTGCTGCATTGAGAGTAGACAAGTGGGGGAGAGATCCGTCATTAAAGAAAGGGCAGGATGGCTTGGATGAGAGCAGTGGAGAAATGACAACTGCTCAGGAAGAACTTCTTAAAGAGAAAGCATGAGAGAGGAAGAAGAGGAGCCATGGATGCTTCATAGAAAGGATGGAATTGCCATCAATTCCATTCAATCCAAAGAAATTCAAGCTTGAGAGTGTTGGTCAGGAGTTCTATTTTGAGCCTGTTACTTCGGAGGTGCCTTATTAGACAACCACATGGAGAGCTCAGGCAGCAGCTGGATGAAAAAAGGTACACTGAGGGAGAGGTTTTGGTTTAGAAAAGATAATTAGAAGAATTGGGTATAAACAAAGAAAGTGCTCAAGGACAGAACCCCATTGGGGTTCCTATTATTGACATGAGGGAAAAGAGGAGCAAAGAAGCATGACGGGTGACTGCAGGTAGGAGGAAACCTAGGAAACCCCAGAGAGCCAGGTGCCCTGGAAGCCAAGCACACCGAGGAGAGCATAGGAGCCAGGACCTTTGTTTGGCATAGCCTCTTAATCATCTTACTGTTAAAGCTTACTTCCTGCTGCTCATTCTTGTCCCTGCTCTTTTCCAGCTGTGATATTGTCTTAACCTAGGAATGTTTTTGTGCTTTGTGGAGCCTGCTTGGAAAGTTGCCTAGTCCAGATTCAGCACTATCATTGGACCTTATTCAGTCTGTGCTTTGTTTTCCTTGGCTGGTATTATTTTATGGCTCTAACTAGAATTTAATCATGAAAAATGAGATCTTATTTTGTCAATAATCAGTAGGCACATAGTAGATAACTAATAAATATTGATGAACTATTAGATGGTTAATGTTATTCTACCTAATGATTTAAAAAAAAAACAGGAAATTTGAAAAATAATTTACCAAAACTTTTTTTCTTTTTAAATTTTTTAATGTTTATTTCTTAATATATTTTTATTGAATTTTTGTGGATTTCATACAATATATATTAATCATATTTAGGCCCCCCTTTCCTGTCTGCACCCCCCCATAGCCCACCCACAGGACTTCATGCACTTTGTCATATATGTTAAAGCCTATCAAGTCAAGTTTGTGTACCCTGATGTCCCTCTCTGTGAATTCATCCACTGAAGTCTGTCGAGCCTGTCTAGCATCACTCCTTAAAGATGATCAGCCTCTCTTACCCAGCATTGATCAGCTGCCAATAGTTCCTCACCAAAGTCGTGGCCTCCTGCCCATTTCCCCAGTTCTATGCAGGTTTTTTTTTTTTTTTCCTGTCTGATTCAATTTGCATGGGTCTTGTGCATGCTGTCACCATTGCTATAAGTTCATATCAGCAAGGTCCCAGGAGCCTGTAAGACTGTTTCCTTATGGTCATGTACCTCTTCACCTGACTCTTAAGATCTTTCTGCCTCCTCTTCTGCAGTGGTCCCTGAGCCCTGGGTGATTTAGCACAACTTTAACACTGCTTATCTTTCAATGGAAGTTTTAACAGAATCAATATTTAAGTAATAGTTTTGTTAATAATAAATACATGCATACTTAGAGGTACACAAATGAAATGTACATATTGCTGAATTTTCATAGTGAACATACTTTGCAGCTAGTGCCTAGATGAAAATCAGAACCCCTCCTCCCAGTAGCATGCTGTGAACTAGTCACTGCCCCCTCTAAGAGGACGTAGGAATCTGTCTTTCAGCACCACAGCTAAGCTCTGCCTTTGGTTATTCAGATCAGTGGAATCATATGGTGTTTGCACTTGTGCCTGGCTCCTTTCACTCAATACTGTGTTTATGAAATTCACTATTAAGTAACTATTGCTGTACAGCATTCTTCTGTGTGTATACCATAATACATATCTCTTCTACAACATAGAAGCATTTAGAGTATTTCCAATTTCTGTTTGTTTGGGCTTTTGATTTTTGAGTCAGGGTCTTATGCTGCTGCCCAGGCTAGCTTCAGTCCCATGGTGATCCTGCCTTTGCCTCCTGAGATCTGGAATTATCGGTATGACTCTTGGCTTTTTTCTAGTTTTTTTTTTTTTTTAATTGTTTGTGAGGTATATGCAAGCATATGTTGGTGTGTGTGTAGGTGGAAGCCATAAGTGAATGTTGGGTCATTTTCTTCTATCACTCTCCACCCTATTTTTTTTTTTTAAGATTTGCTTTATTTTAAATGTGTATGAGATTTTTACCTGCATGTATGTGTACCATACACATGCCTGATGCCTGTGAAGGCTGGAGGAGGGCATTGAATGCCTTGTAACTGGAATTATGGGCAGTTGAAAGCTATCATATGGCTGCTATGAAACGTACCCCTCTGCAAGAACAGCAAGAACTCTTAACTGC